AAAAAAAGACCATCCTGGCCAATATGGTGAAACTCCATCTCTACTAAAAAAATACAAAAACTAGCTGGGTGTGGTGGCGTGCGCCTGTAGTCCCAGCTACGCCAGAGACTGAGACAGGAGAATTGCTTGAACCTGGGAGGCAGAGATTGCAGTGAGCTGAGATCGCGCCACTGCACTCCAGCCTGGCGCCTGGCAACAGAGGAAGACTCCGTCTCGAAAAAAAAAAAAGGTTTTCAAACTACTTTGATAATTCCCACAACCCCAGATCTAAGTAATCAGCACCTTCATTTATTTATTTATTTATTTTGAGACGGAGTCTTGCTCTGATGTCCAGGCTGGAATGCAGTGGAGTGATCTTGCCTCACTGCAACCTCCTCCTCCTAGGTTCAAGGGATTCCTGTGCCTCAGCTTCCTAAATAGCTGTGGTTTCAGGCACATACCACCATGCCCAGCGAATTTTTTGTATTTTTTTTCTTTTTTTTTTTTTTAAAGATAGGGTTTCACCATGATGGCCAGGCTGGTCTTGAACTCCCGACCTCAGGTAATCCGACGGCCTTGGCCTCCAAAGTGCTGGATTACAGGCACCCTGCCTAATTTTTTTTTGAGATGGAGTTTTACTCTTGTTGCCCAGGCTGGAGTGCAATGGCGCGATCATGACTCACTGCAACCTCCGCCTCCTAGGTTTAAGTGATTCTCCTGCCTCAGACTCCCGAGTAGCTGGGATTACAGGCATGCACCACCATGCCTGGCGACTTTTGTATTTTTAATAGAGACAGGTCCCCATGTTGGTCAGGCTGGTTTCGAACTCCTGATCTCAGGTGATCCGCCCACCTTGGCCTCCCAAAGTGCTGGGATTACCAGTGTGAGCTACCACACCCAGACTAAAAACTTGATCTTTTTTTGTGTTTTTTGTTTGTTTGTTTGTTTGTTTTTTGGAGACGTCACTCTGAGGTCCAGGCTGAAGTGCAGTGGTGCCATCTCGGCTCACTGGAACCTCCACCTTTCAGGTTGAAGCGATTCTCCTGCCTCTGCCTCCCTAGTAGCCGAGATTACAGGCAGGAAGCACCACGCCTAGCTAATTTTTTTTTTATTTATAGTAGAGATGGGGTTTCACAACGTTGGCCAGGCTGGTCTTGAACTTCTGAGCTCAAGTGATGTTCCAGCCTTGCCCTCAGAAAGTGCTGGGATTACAGACATGAACCACCATGCCCGCCCTAAAAACTTGTTATTTTTATTTATTTTTTTGAGTTTCGCTCTTGTTGCCAGGGTGAAGTGCAGTGGAGTGATCTCGGCACAGTGCAACCTCCACCTCCCAAATTCAAGTGATTCTCCTGCCTCAGCCTCCCAAGTAGCTGGGATTACAGGCACCTGCCACCATGCCTGGCTAATTTTGTATTTTTGGTAGGGATGGGGTGTTTCTCCATGTTGATCAGGCTGGTCTCGAACTCCTAGCCTCAGGTGTTCAGCCTGCCTTGACCTCCCAAAGTGCTTGGATTACAGGCGTGAGCCAATCACCCTGCCAAAACCTGTTCTTTTTATGTTCTAGAATCCCATCCAGAATATCTTCTTCCATTGACTCATTATGTCTCCTTGGCTCCTCTCAGCTACCACGGTAGTCTGTTGTGTGGTATGGACTCCCATTTCACCAACGGCCTCACCTATTCCAGCATTCAGCCTCCTGTTTTTCCCTTCTCCTCTATCTGTTCTTACTGCCTACTGTCTGAAGACAGAATTTGTTTCATACCCACTGCTTTTAAAAGCATTGTCTTTTTTTAAGATCTTCGTTCCCATTTGGATGGCATGTGTTCTCTAAAAGGTTCTAACTAAAAAAAGGGAGGATTCTAAGGTCACAGTAGATAGATAGAATTTTCGGTATTCCATTTTCCTTTTGCAAAATTCTCTCAGATTAATCCCATTTATCTACTGTAATGCTTACAAATTATGAAGAGGAATTTATAATAGAAATCTAATTTTATTTTTAGATGGAGTCTCACTCTGTCTCCCAGGCTGGAGTGCAGTGGTGCGATGTGGACTTACTGCAATCTCTGCCCCTTCCCCACTTTTCAAGCAATTCTTCTGCCTCAGCCTCTGGAGTACCTGGGATCACAGGCGTCTGCCGCTGCTCTTGGCCAATTTTTGTATTTTTAGTACAGATGGGATTTCGCCATGTTGGCCAGAGTGGTCTCAAACTCCTGACCTCAGGTTATCCGCCTGCCTGGGCCTCCCAACATGCTGGGATTACAGGTGCAAGCCACCACACCTGGCCAACAATCTAAAAATATTTATTTATTTATTTAAAGACAGGGTTTCAGCATGTTGGTCAGGCTGGTCTTGAATTCCCAGCCTCAGGTGATCCACCTGCCTTGGCCTCCAAAGTGCTTGGATTACAGGCGTGAGTCACCACGCCCGGCCCCAATCTAAAAATCTTTAAAACTGACTGGGCAGGGTGGCTTATGTTGCAATTCCAGCAGGTTGGGAGGCCTCGGTGGGCAGAGCCTCTGCGTTTGTGCCACTGCACTCCAGGCTGGGCAACAGAGCAAGACTTTGTCTTAAAAACAAACAAATGAAAACAAACAAAAACACTGGGCACGGTGGCTGATGCCTATAATCCCAGCATTTTGGGAGGCCGAGGCTGGCGGATCACCTGAGTTCAGCAGTTTGAGACCAGACTGGCCAACATGGTAAAACCCCATCTCTACTAAAAATACAGAATTCACCAGGCGCGGTGGCTCAAGCCTGTAATCCCAGCACTTTGAGAGGCCGAGGCGGGTGGATCACAAGGTCAAGAGATCGAGACCATCCTGGTCAACATGGTGAAACCCCGTCTCTACTAAAAATACAAAACATTAGCTGGGCATGGTGG